ATAGTAATAGCCATTGATAGTTGGGTTCATGTTCATCCTATATTTACATATGTTGCGTATACGTCTCCAATGCCTTAACACACAAACATAAACCCATCTTCCATGGTCCACACCACAACCTCTAATAACCCTTTAATAATACAATTGTAATCATAATAATTAGAGTAATTTACGTTTTTCGTCCTCATGGTTTAATTAAAAATTGTGAAATTTTATTCTACGGTTTTGTAATTATAATCTTTATGCTTATGATTTAGAACTTATTGTTGTTTTCGTCTCTAAGCCTAACTTTTACCTTTAAGTATGAGAGACTAAAATAGTGAAGAATTACAAACGACATAGATGAAAATAATAATAAATTATAAATCATAAGGATGAATATAACAGTGAATTGTAAATTAGAGGGATGGAAATCGTGATTTCAAAAATATAAAGACGAAAATAGTAATTTTCAACAAACCACAAGGACTAAAAACGCAAGAATTACAAAATTTAGTTTGGGACCAAGTGTCACGAAATAGAAAAGCAGGGCTTGTTTGGCCAATTTCTTTTTTCTTTTCTGGAAAACCCAAATGAATTAAAACAACAAAACGTAAAGCTTAAAAGAAGAGCAAACAAGGAACTATAATGTGCAAAAATAACCAAGAATCAAAGAAAACAGAACAATTAAAACCAAACAAAACCCAACATTAAAAAGGAAGGAAAAAGTCGACAAAAAACCAACACAGCTAAAAGAAGCAAACACAGATCAATTGGTATTTGGATACCGTGCTGGATATGAAAACCCAAATGGTGATTTTGGTTACCAAACTTCATATGCTAAATTACTATAGACCAGAAATATTAACCTCATTTAAATCGTTACAGACTCACAGCCCATTGGTTAAAAAAATCTAGAAAGAATCTTGACAGGAAACAACAAAATATGCTTAGAGATACATTATTGCTCTAAACTTTAAATTACTTGTACTTTAATGGATAGTTGATGTTCTCTAATAATGGCGATACGGCCATCGATTTGGCAACTAGCATGGTAGGCAACAACATTGGGTATGACGATGAGTATAACCCACTGTTTTGTCGAGATTTGCTTCAATTAACACAAATGATAGCTAAGTACCGCTTGGTATCATGCTTTGGTTATTTTGAACATGTAGGGGGGTTTTGATTAGGCAAAACACAAAGCTTTAAGGATTGAGATTTTCTAGATGAGTTTCATGTACTAAGTTTTCCGTATTGCATGCAAATATGTTATTTTATTATACGACTGTATTTATGTTTATATGATATTTAAACGTTATTATGGTGATTTAATTGTATACAAGCATGTGTAATGTTTTTAGAATGCATGAACACAATTTCATGGGTTGTGATGATTTAATATATTGGTTTAAGAACTAAATTGTAAGAGTATGGTAAGCGAGTTATTTCAGGTAAAGAAAAAATCATGAGAGTTTTGGTAACCAGTTTGTATGGTCAACAAAGTCAATGTTTTTTAGAAGAACTGAATGCTGAATCTACAAGAAATTGTTTGAAATTGATAAAGTATGGTTAAATTATCGAGGCCAATGTTAAAAATTATGAATCCATAAGGTCCTGGTTTACTGCATACCGAAGCCTTTTTTATATTTTGCAACCCAAGTATACATATGAGCGGTTTTAACAAAAAAGGAAATGAAAAAAATATAACATTTAATTTTTTTTGATTAACCTGGATATCCAACCCGTTATACGAGCCGACTAATCTCAGGACGACCACCTGCTTTGCAGATTGTCCGGAGTCACTGCATTTGAATCTCCGTGGTCACAAGAGGATTTTTATTCATCATTGGATTTGAACCTGCGACCTCCTGATATTTTTTTATTATTGGAGTCAAGCTTAAATCAATCAGGCACCAACCACCCTTGTGGTTTAACAATTGATTTTTAGAGATTGAAGTGCAAATTAAGACTATGTTCAATACATGGGCGGACCTACCATGGTGGTTACGGTGGCACGTGCCATCATATTATTTCTTCGTCGAAGGGTAAAAAAAATTTAGGTTCATGAAAGGTGCAACCGTATTAATCTGTTGTGTGCCACCGTATGTATTTTGAAACTACAGTGAGAACAAATTTTATTTGGTAGAGTTGGTTTGCAAGACTTTTATTCCACTCCAGACCCAAATTCAAATATTGTTAATGTCATTTTCTTAGTCAAATAGTGTCACCGATTGAAAAAAAATATATTCCGTATATTTGTTTCTTATAATCAACCGGTGCCATTGTTTGAAATTTTTTCCCTATAGTTTTTTCTTATAGTCAGATGGTGTCACCGTTTGAAAAAAAAAATCTGGGTTCGTCCCTGGTTCAATATTTAAATATTTCGTTTTAGATTTTGGTACAAGTCAGGTTTGAAAATATGTGTTACTCTTTAAATTCAGTAATAACTGTATTTTTCATGTCATTTTTTTCGATGTGAAATAAATTTATAATCATTTTTACAATTATAATTAACTAAAATATTCTTTTTTTCAAATTAAAACAATAATAACAATAAGAGTCATTAAAATAGTTAAATACTCTTTCAGATAACTTAAAAAATTCTAAATTCAAATTTATATTTAAAAATTAACGATAATTACTTATGCCCCCCTAACAAACATGGGAAAATCATTGCTTTAAGTATTAAATAATGAAGATGGTGACGCTATCTTTAAATAACAAACCTTGGATGAACAAGAAAATGTTTATCATAATCTATACTATATTATAAAGTATTTGATAAAAACTCTTAAAAACTATTTTTTATGTATGAAATATTATGTATTGATATACATTACTTAAAATTCAAGATTACAAGTAATTTTGCATAAATACAACTTATTAAAGCTCAATTTTTAAATTTGTGTAACTAACGGCAGATAAACATAATCAAATACAAGATTAACATTTATTTTAAATATAGAAAATCTAAATTATAATTAAGATAATCATTAAATTCTAACAGAATGTTAAATGATTATTCTTATAAAAAATTATATTATTAAACTAAAAATAAATTACTTTGTTATTAAATCTAAGTTAACGTATAATAAAAAATTGAATTAAAGAAGTTACATAAAAAATGAGAATTATTAAATAGTTAATTTGATACTAATATCGATTTAGTTTTTTAATTTTTTTTATGCTATATTCAAATTTATATTTATTTCAAAAATAAAAACATTATCGTTTTCTCAAAACCACATAAAATTATGTTATATCGATAGAGAAGATAAAAACTAAACATTAAAATGGAGATTTATCTCGCTGCATTGCGGAAGTACCCTTCTAGTTTTTTTTAAAGTAAAGAGGCCAATAATAAGAAAGTTGACCTTATATTATGCTTATTATTGCATAACTAATAGAATATAAGATAATGTACGTAGGTGTAGCATATATGGTTGGTCTAACGATACGTTATGTCAAAAACACTGCCAATTAGCTATTCAATAACAAGTACACATTTTTTTGTGCAATAAATAAGGGTTTTGATAAAATAGATATAGACATGACATATTTTATATCTGTATATTGTCATATGTTTGTCTTAGACATGGATACATATATATCTAATTTAATTTGTTTACAATACCACACGATTATATGTTAAATTTAGGGATTAGCTTGGTTTTCGGCTTTTGGTTTGGCTGGTTTAAAAAAGAGAGAAATAAAGGGAAAAAAATTAAAATAACTAGACTAGTTCATGTCATATCCAACAAAAAAAAAGCCTCTTTCAAACTGATAACGTCACAGACCAGTCATTATAAAGTCTGGTCCATCAAATCCGGTTCAAATGCTCATTTTTAAAAGCTATATTATATAAAAAGTATGTAATCCTTGTAGTTTTGTATAAAAAAAGTACATATATCACTCATGTCAAGCCAGAAGAGTTTTCACTCACCATCTTTCTTTTGATTCTAGTCGTTAGAGTTTTAATTTTCAAATCGACAATCTATCTTTTGTTATAAGTTAGTCTCATGCTAATAGTTAATGGGCGTATCTTTTTTCCATTATTTTGTTTTTCTTCATCACTAAATATTTGATCATGTACACTATGTACAACATCTCTACCATAATATCTGCAATGTCATTGTTTAACTGATGAGACTTAATAATACACGAAAGATAGGGTCACTAAGTGAAGTTATACAGATGGAACAAGACTTATTATTGATATTAAGTCAAAAAAAATAGACAATTGAGCTAATACCAAAAACTAAGTTACCAATTTTGTATTATTTAAGCATAACAAGACGATGCTAAGTGCATTCTTTCATACACTCTTGTCGATCTTTGAATGTTATAAATAATCGGTGATACATATAACAAGATCAAGTAAGTGATTAAAAATCACTATATAAATCTACAACAATAAACAAAAAATTGCAGATTCAACTTTATTATCAATACTATTTCTTAAACGAGTCAAAACATAATGGATGATTATTGTTTTGTCATAATTATTTGTAAACATAAAATTTATTACACCAGTTAAAAAAGAATCACGAACATAAGAATTTATAGTTGACAATGTTCAAAAAATATATACTTCAAGAAAATATGTGTATGTAATTTGATAATTAAAAAAATGTTAATTACCATTTTGTTAATTGTGTTTATTAAATTTAAAATCTTTTTGTTTATTTCTTAATTTGGAAATTAAATATAATATTGATGTCCTTAGTATTTTTAACATACAATATCTGTGTCACCTCAAACCATATACCTTAATATAGTAAACAATATTTATTAATGTCATCAATACTTTATATAAAGGAAAAAAAAGAGAGATTCAAAATCAATAACCACTCACGTTATTACCAAGTATATATATATATATATATATATATATATATATATATATAAATTGAAATAATAGGAAACTAGCGTCTTTGTCAAAATTCTAACATAAAAGTCAAAAATGGTATTATATATTTCTTGCAAGAAATTAAAGAAAAAAGTGGGACGAGTACAAAATACAATTTTGTAAGAGAAAAAGGGGAGCAAATGACAAGATACATGCGATAACGTATGAAAGAGATGATTAATAAAAATCCCATTTCAAACACCATATATATCCCCCCCATAAAACTACTACTCACACACTCACCAAAACCAAAACCAACCCATCTTTCCCTTCCATCTTCACACACAAACAATGGCTTCAATCCTCTCACTCTTCCTCTCTTTCCTCTTCCTCATTTCATCATCAACTGCAACAACCAATCCTTCTTCCCACTCCTCATTACACTTTTCTCCATCTCTTAGAAAAACCGGCCACCAACTGATCAAAGACCTCAATTTGCACCCAAATCTTGAAGTCAACATCCTTAAGCCATTCACCAATTCTTCTGATGCTGAATTCAAAGTTTTTGAATCCGGGGTTGTTGAGAAACGGTTGTCGTTCCAGGTTCTTGGCGAATCTGGTGCAACCGTGCAAGACCTGGCTCAACGGGCTGGATATTTTCATCTCAAACATACCATAGATGCAAGGTATGTCCACTTTTTTCTTTCTTTTGCATTCAATTTAATGCAAAAAGATGCCAATTTTAGATAATAATCCATCAGTTCTTTATGAAAAAGAATTCTTTCTTGGTTAGTTTTGGTTATTTAATTGGTAAAGTCACCTACCCTTGGAAAAAGATCTTTATGATTAGGTAAAAAAGTGGATACTTTGAGGTCTATTGGTGGAGAATTGACCAGTCTTGTTGTTCCATGGTAGACTTTACATTGTGGAATCTTAAGAGGACATGTGAGTAGGGTCCAAAAGCCACATTCTAATGATTCCCAAACAAGGGCACCACTGTCTTATTGTACTTGTACCACAGTTTTATGCATCTTTCCCCTATGGTTTTGGAGATAAAGATTCATCTCGCTAACATCAAAAAGTTTATCCCATATAATCAAAAGACAAATAAATAACCTATTTTCCTTTGTAAACCATATAAAGAAAGACTATTTTGCTAAATGAATTGGTTTTTACCTGATATAGCTGAAGATAATGTGTGCAGGATGTTCTACTTTTTCTTTGAATCAAGAAAAGCCAAAGCTGACCCTGTGGTCATATGGCTAACAGGAGGACCAGGGTGCAGTAGTGAATTGGCTCTTTTTTATGAGAATGGTCCTTTTAAGATCACCAACAACTTGTCTCTTGTCTGGAATGATTATGGCTGGGATAAGGTAGCCTTCTGTTAATGGACTAAACTCCTAATGCTTTCAAGTATTGTACTGTACTATCCATCAATTCATGCAGTGAATTTTGTTTGACCACAGGTTTCTAACATCATATTTGTTGATCAACCTACTGGAACTGGTTTTAGTTATAGTTCTAGTGATCAAGACATTCGCAGCGATGAAACTGGTGTTAGCAATGACCTCTACAACTTCTTACAGGTCTGTTGACTCATAGGCCATGTTTGGCAATTATATGCTAGCTTACTTTTCGAGCTTGAAAAAACCCCATTTGGTAAATAATAAACTAGCTTATAAATCAGCTTCTTGAAAAGCTACTTCAATGGCTTTTCAATAAGCTCCATGAGCTTTTTTCACGTTTTTCCAATTATGCCCCATATATGTAGAATTGAGTAATTTTCAACATGTACTTTCAAGTCATTTTACATTGTCATCTAGCTTATGGGCAACTATGTTCCTTCATCCATCCAGGGGAATCTAACCTTGTAATTGCAGGCATTCTTCAAGGCACATCCGGATTATGTCAACAACGACTTCTACATCACGGGAGAATCATATGCAGGACACTACATTCCAGCCCTTGCTGCTAGGATTAACCAAGGAAACAAAAACAAAGAAGGGATTCCTATAAACTTGAAGGGATTTGGAATTGGAAATGGGCTAACTGATCCTGGAATCCAGTATCAAGCCTACACAGATTATGCATTGGCCAATAATATAATTTCTAAATCAGATTATAACCAAATAAACCAAAAGATTCCATCTTGTGAGCGGGCAATCAAACAATGTGGTAATTCCTTAAATCTTTCTAGTTTTTTTTCCTTAAATTTAGTTCATTTCGTTGTCAATGGAATTGTCTAAGCATGCCATTGTGTATTTTTCCAGGCACAACGGGTACATTCACGTGTCAAATGGCTCTCAACAGTTGCCAACAAATTTTTGAGGATATACTTTCTATTACAGACAACATAAATGTAAGAACTGGTTACAGAAAAACTCAACAAATGTAGAAAGTTGACCATTCCATCATGATTTGTTTTCTATTTGCAGTACTACGATATAAGGAAGAAATGTGAGGGGACCTTGTGCTATGACTTCTCAAACTTGGAACATTTTCTAGTCCAATCATCAGTTAAAACAGCATTAGGGGTACCAGAAAAAATAGAATTCGTTTCATGTAGCGATAGAGTGTACCAGGCAATGATCAATGACTGGATGAGAAATCTTGAAGTCGGGATTCCAGCACTTCTGGAACAGAATATTCAATTGCTTGTATATGCTGGAGAATATGATCTTATTTGCAACTGGCTTGGTAAGTAGACTCCTTCCAGCCTGCAAAAGGTATGCAGTTATGCCACTTTTATTGAAAAAAATGAATGGTTTGCAGGGAACTCGAGATGGGTTCATGCCATGTCATGGTCTGGGCAGAAAGACTTCATTGCAGCTTCAGATGTTCCATTTTTGGTTGATGGGAAAGAAGCTGGGATTCTAAAGAATCATGGGCCTCTCACTTTCATTAAGGTTCATGATGCTGGACACATGGTTCCTATGGATCAACCGAGAGCTTCACTACAGATGTTGGAGCTATGGACGACAGGGAAACTTACTCCACCTAAAAAGGGCGCGATTTCACCTCTCTGATTGTTTTGCAGGATCTGAAGAGAAAGAAAACCACAAAAAGCTTCCACTATGTTACAAAGATCCCTGCGTTGAATGCATTTGCATGTTTGTGTGCATATTCACCATAAACAAAGAAAAAAGTCATAACTTTACATGTAATTAGACAGCAATTCTTATTCAGTGTTATACGAAAGAAGTAAGAAATCATAAGGATAAATGATGCTGCTTGTTAATTGAGCATTAATTTAATTGTTTTCGTATTTCAAATGTCTGCTGGTTTGATTTGAAAATTGTCAAGGTTTAGTATGTTATATATTATATAAAGATGTACCAGGGTAGAAACAATTTGGAAATAGAAAGTCAAAAATAGCTTAGTCAAATTTGGATCTTGAAAGTTCAAAGTTAGAATTTCCATGGGAGTTGATCAACTCTTTCTAACCACTAAAGATTGTAAATGAGCAAAGAAAAAGTAAATGCAAAAAACCCATCTCATTTGACAGGGTTTGTCCAAAATCACTCATCCTTGCATAGGGTATTGCATTTTTGCAAGAAAAATGTTTGTTTGCAAATAAAATCCCAAACAAGAAGGTTCAAAACTCCATAAATTGCAGAAACAATTAATAGTTGCACTGGCCAATTGAACTTAAACCATGATAAGGAGAATAGGATTAAGTTTCAGAAACTGATTTTTGCACAAATCTTCTTGCTTAAGGCATAACATGCTCCTGAACAGAGCTTAATTCTAACCAATCTATCAAGCAATGAGATATGGAAACACAACTTCAAGGAAGAATAGCATGTTCTGTCCAAAATCCTGCAAGAACTACATGATAAGCACCAGTTTGTGTACAAGTCATCCTAATAAAAGAAAATACATGAATTCAAGGCAAAAATTTAAGATGTTTGAGATGAACAAATAGACCTACCCAATTGTAGCATGTTCTGTTCATCGACAGCGATACACAACAAAAATGTGGACACTTTTTAACATTTTGCCTTTGTTGGATTATGTATTTCCATTTGTCTTGTAAAACAGCAAGATCTTATTTTGGGACAAAACATAGCCCTAAAATATCACAACTTGACAGAAGTAGTAATACCATAAATGTTAACAATGAATCATCATGTAGAAAGTGAACAAAAATGCTATTACTCTGACGGATGTAGGTGCCAAAATCATCGTGTGCAAGATGGTTTTCGTGTGGAAATCTTTTTGAACACCCTATATAAGTCCCTGCACCTCGTACACACTTCACTGAAGCGAAAAACAAAGCAACACTCAACCACAATGGCTCGAGTTTTCATTTACCTTTTTCTCCTTGTCCTCATTAGTCAACTTCCCGTCTCATCTGCTAGATCCCAGTTGCATGATCCTTCCTCAACTTCACTGCATACAAGAACCAGATATCAACTAACTTGATTTGAACATCTTTAAGGCAAACATATCTGATTCTGTCAGCACTGCAGATTCCAGGATTCTTGAAAAGCAGTTAAGGCTCTCAGTTCTTGGCCATTCAGGTGCTTCGATGCATGACCTTTCTTATCTTGCCGGATATGTTCGAATCAAGCACGTCGTAGGTGCAAGGTATCTTTGGTTCATCACCATAATATGTGGAAATAAGGAACTGCAAAAAGCATAGTTTGATCAGAATATTAAAAATATCAAACGAGGGGTGTTTGGGATTGCTTATCTGAAACAACTTATGACTTTTCTACAAAAGCACTTATTAACTTATGATAAGTCAGAAGTGTTTAACTTCTTAAAAAACTCCTTATTACCGGTTTGACACCGGTATAAGTTGTTTACCAAACACTCAAAAGTGCTTATTACCGATGCCACACCGGAATAAGTCAATAAGTTGTTTTCCCAAACACTTTGCAGGATGTTCTACTATCAAATAAAGACCAGCCCCGTTTCAATGATTGAAATCTAACAGGAAATCGTGTGTCCTGATCAAGAATCAAGAACATAGCACAAGAAGAACTTACGGTAAAGAAACTATTTGACTTCTTGAAGCATTCACCAACAGATTTATATAAAGATTCAAAAAACAAATGAAAATGAAACTATTTGACTTCTTGAAGCATTC